CCCTCGGATTCCATAACGGACCATGAAGGAAGGCCCATGTCGCCCTGTCCCCCAAGAGGCCGTCTCTGTGTCCCTGGATTTCTGGGCCTGAAGTTGCCTTCCACCCTCCTTCCCTCCCCTGCTGCTTTCCTTTCCCACCTCTCCTGATTAGCGCTCATTTCCTTGCTCCTTGTCAGCTTCTACAGGCCATATTGTTGTACAATGAGGGCACACTGGAGGAAGCCTGGAGATGCACCCCACCTTCTCCAGTTCATCCTACATGGGGAGCGCCTGTGGGGTGTGCTGGCCCTGTGGGAGACCCCACATATCTAGTGACTGTCTTGTGTCTGAAATGATCCTAGGTTCTTGATGGACATTTAAACCACACAACACCAAACATTTTTTGAAATTGCAACACAATATTGGAGGTAAAGGAACTTGTCAAAATACCCCTAGTCTGTGTGTGAAGAACAACATGGTGGCGCAGGCACAGGGTACCCACCAGGATTGGTGCTGGGCCCCAAAAAGTCCCACAGGGAGGGGCCTCTGGAGGCCTGAGGGAAGGTTATGGGATGGGGATATGGCTGGGCTCTGGGGCAGGGCGGTACTGTGTGGCCAGAACACTGGGATCTGAGAGGACCAGTAGCCCCCTGCCCTGCTGCCCCAGGCTCTGTTCGTGGGCCTGGGCACCTGAAGCCAGCTCAGTAGGCCATGAGAGCAGGTGTGCTGCAGCCAGCAGCCCTTCCCGCAGCCATCTAGCATCCTTGAAGCCATGGAGGCCCCTGGGCAAGTGCGAGGGTCCCAGGAAAGCAGGTGCCAGGTGGAATGTGGGCAGGGACAGAGAAACATGCCCCAGGATGTGCTACCACGTGACTTCTACACAAGGATCTGGGAGCACGTGCAGGGGCAGAGTGGAAATGTTGTCTCTGCCACGAGCCCTGGGAAAACCCATTTGATCAGGAACATGAGGACAGGACAGAAAGCTACCCACTGGATGCTGCAAGTGCAGGGGAGGGTCTGCTCCCAACCCTCCTGGCACCCATGGGAGAACTTCTCTGCAGGCTAAAGGGCAGGTGACAGAGCTGTGTCCCGCCAGAGAACCATCATCACGGAGGAACACTAAACAAAGCAGCCTCCTGCTCTGTTCCCACCACATGTTACCCCAGGACCAAAGGCTTTGGTGCTTTGCAGAGGCAACGCCAACAAGCCCTGGCTTAGGAAAGATCATCTTTAAGTAAGAAGCAAGAAAAGTTGATTATATGCACAGCACTCTCAAAACGCAAAGGCATAGTACCTCCACTATTGGGTATTTAAAATACAAGAACAAAATGCTCCTCCACACGTTTCCTTTGCCTTTCTGATACCACGCTTCCCATCCTCAGTCTCCAGAGCTGCAGGTGGAACCCCGCTCCTCTGGCCCAAGGTAGTTCCCTACCTGGACAGTCCTTCTCTTCACTGATGCCGCTGAGGAAGCTCTCCACATCGCTGTCTTTAAAGACACAAACACAAACAGGAAGGTTATGAGAGAAAGGGGCTCCCACTGTACCTCCTCCTGTTGGAGACATGCTGACCCACAGCATCACCCTGCTCTCTCCCTGGGTCCTCAGACCTTCCCTGGGCTCCGTGGGATCAGAACCCTTCAACAAGACATTGATTACAGATGCAAAGCTTCAGATGAGAGGGAGGATCCTCCTTCAGCCTGTCACTCGGGCCATTTCCACCAGGCCATTCTCGCTCTCACCTGCAGAACCATCACCCTGAAGTTCCAACTGTTGGGGGGAGGTTACCTTCGACGTGTTGACAGGTCAGAAGCCTAGGCCGCTTCCAATAAAATGGGCAATGACCACTCTGGGAAGATGGAGACGTCCTCTCCGTGTGGCCAACATCTACGGGACGATGAGATTCTACTAAACTACAATGTTCTCCACAGAGGAGTCGTGATTCAAAAGGAAGCCAAAACCATAAGTCACCTTGTTTTACATTTCTACTCACTTAGAGACCTCCTCTCAGCTTCCTTCCTGGCAAAGGCCTTCAGAGGAAACCAAGAGCCTATTTTGCCTTTTCCCACAGGCCAGTTAAATACCATTATGNCACCTTTTTTCCTGGGAAAGGCCTTCAGAGGAAACCAAGGCCCTATTTTGCCTTTTCCCACAGGCCAGTTAAATACCATTATGGCTGCTTGTGTTTAACCACCATCGCTCAGACAGGCTTCAGGACATTTCAACAGCCTACTCAGAGGTGAGGTTCATTATGAAATGAAGTTGTTATTGGCTGAGTCATGGTGACTCCAAATTTGTTTTGCTTTGAGAGCCCTGTGAACACTTTCCTGGTGGGGATGGGGTTTTTTGTTTATTTTTGTGTCTTTTTGTTTTTTCAGATTACTTGAGGTGTATCTGGCATATAATGAATTACACATATTGAAATTGTACAATTTTATACATGTGGACATACATAACTACTGAGGAAGCAAGGTGATGGGATTTTTTCTGACTGGGAAAATTCATACTGGCAGCTGTGTTGCTCAGGGGGATATAAATCTAGGGAAGCAGAAGCACACACACATACACACTCAGAATCCCACCTTATCGACTGACATACAGACACAGCTCATCTCCCTGCACCCTACCCACCACCTGGAGACTATGCGACTGCTTCTAGAAATGTGACCATAGTTCTCTGCCTGGAAAATCCTATTTTTTGTTTCACTTCACCTCTAATCCTCATTCCAGTGGGAACCCAGAGTTAAATGGCTCCTCTAACTAAAGACAGCAAGGGTTTTCCCCAACAAGTGAGTGACTTCAGAATACGTACCACTTTCACTTGTTCCTGAAGCCATCTGCAATTACAGAAAAGAAAACCATGAGAATCACGTCACCCTACACAGGGACTGCACAGATCTTAATTCTCTAGGTGAGTTTAGCAAACCAGATAGGACACTGAGGCTGTGTCAATGTCCCCCACAGTAGGTGGAAAGCTGATTTTCCTGGAGGCTGTCTCTCAAGTCCACTGAGATTGGCAATGACAAAACTCTCAATCCAAGGAGGAGAAATTGCTGCTGAGGAAGAGGCTCCCCAACCACACTATTTCTATGCAGGTTTGGTGTGGCCCGTGGCAAGTGGCCTCTTGAATCAGGGGTCACTTGGCCAGAGACGACCACCCAACACTCTCCCCGCCAGAGAAATTGTATGTATCATCTGTAATGTACACTGTCAAATTTTCCACTGAATTTGATTGGAAAATGTTAAAAAGACACAGGCCAAATGTGGTGTGACTTCTGCCAGGTCAAGTCACCAAACCAGAGCTCTTCACCAAACTCGATGGCAATTTCAACCTCCCCCAAAATGTAGTCACTCAGGAATTTTCTGGTCAGCACTGATAAGATAATGTCCCATGTGTCCTCTCCATCCCCCAAAGGAATCCACCCAATAGAACACTTTTGTCCCCAGATGAAGATGTCCTCACCTGAAATAGTCCTTTTTTACTTTTTATGACTTCCTTGTCTGGCCTGTAAAAACCTCTCCCTATCGTAGCCCTTGGGAGCATCTCTGTAGTTGCTACAAGGGATGCTGCCCAATTCATGAATCGCTTAATGAAGCCAATTAGATCTCCAAATTTACTTGGGTGAATTTTGTTTTTTAACAAAAGGAAAGATATCAAGAAAGCAACATTTCTACCTCAGAGAGAGCAACAGTCTGTTCCTCAGCAACAGGCACGGTCTCCTCTGCCTGGTCCATAGGAAGGACCTCGGTTACTGCGTTAAGGGATAACAAGAAAGACACAGAGTAGCTGTTAGTCCATTGGTGGTGCTGCTCAAGAATGACTCAGGGAGGGATGCTTGATATGGACATGGGGCCAGAAAGTACAGAAGCAGGTGGTTACCAAGCATGACTGAACCACTGCTATGGGCCATCCCTGACAATATGGCTGAAAAATGTGCAGCGTGAAGGCACTTTTTTTTTTAAGAAAGTTGATCCTGGCAAGTTTAGTGTAAGTGGGACACATCCCCTGGGGAAACATACAACCTCATCCCACTGTCTGTCTCTCTTTCTCTCTCTCACACACACCCCCACTCATTCACAATCACACTCTGTAGAGTCACCCAAAACACCCCCAAGCCTTGTGCACAAAACCCGACACCACATAAAAGGAACCCAATCCCGGAGCACGTGCAGGGGCTGAGGGGAAATGTTGTCTCTGCCGCCCACCGTGGGAGCACCCTTTTGATCAGGAACATGAGGACAGGACAGGGAGCTGCCCACTGCATGCTGCCAGCACAGGGGAGGGTCTGCTCTCCACCCTCCTGGTGCCCATGGGAGAACTTGCCTGCAGGTTCAAGGGCAGGTGACAGAGCTGTGTCCCGCCAGAGTGCCTCCCTCACAGAGGAATATCTAACCCAGCAGCCTCCTGCTCTGTTCCCACCACATGCTACCCAGGACCAAAGGCTTTGGTGCTCTGCAGAGGCAAAGCCAACAAGCCCTGGCCTAGGAAAGATCATCTTTAAGTAAGAAAGCAAGAAAAGCTGATTATAGGCACAGCACTCTCAAAACCCAAAGGCATAGTACCTCTGCTATTGCCTTTCTGATACCACGCTTCCCATCCCCAGTCTCCAGAGCAGCAGGTGTGACCCCGCTCCCGTTGGCTCTGGCCCGAAGTAGTTCCCTACCTGGACAGTCCTCCTCCTGACTGCTGCCGCTGAGGAAGCTCTCCCCATCGCTGTCTTTAAAGACACAAAAGCAAACAGGAAGGTTATGAGAGAAAGGGCCTCCCACTCTTCATCCTCCTGTTGGGGCCATGCTGGCTCACAGCAGCGCCCTGCTCTCTCCCTGGGTCCTCAGACCTTTCCTGGGCTCTGTGGGATCAGAGCCCTTCAACAAGACATTGATCACAGATGCAAAGCTTCAGACGAGAGAGAGGATCCTCCTTCAGCTTGTCATTCGGCCTGTTTCCCCTGGGCCGTTCTTGCTCTCACCTGCAGAACCATCACCCTGAAGTTTCAACTGTTGGAGAAATGTTACCTTCCACGGGTGCAGTGATCAGACCCCAAGGCCCCTTCACACGAAATGCCCAATGACCACTGAGGGACGATGGAGATGTTCTGTCCATGTGGCCAACATCTATGGAACAATGAGATTCTACTAAACTACAGTGTACTCCACAGAGGAGTCATGATTCAAAAGGAAGCGAAATCTTAAGTGACCTTGTTTTCATTTCTATCTTACAGCACTCTTCTCAGCTTATTTCCTGGCAAAGGCCTTCAGAAGAAACCAAGACTCTATTTCATCTTTTCTCACAGGCCAGTTATATACCATTATGGCTGCTAGTCTTTAACCGCCATCGCACAAACAGCCTTGAGGAGAATTCAACAGCCTACTCAGAGGTGAGGTTTATTATTAACGGAAGTTGTTATTGGCCGAGTCATGGTGACTCCAAAACACAAGTTGTTTTCCTTTGACAGTCCTGTGAACACTTTCCTCGGTGGGGATAGGAACACCATTGTTCCCATGTGATTTAGAAAGAAGGACATGTTTTTCCCTTGGGCAATCCATTTCCCCACCCCACACTTCATATTCTTATTCTCTGCAGGAAATTGGAATCAGTATAAATCTTCATATTGGAGATAGCAAGAGTGTACCACCTGTATTAGCACGTGAGCAATCCCCGAATACTTACTGTTTCTGCCCCGTCTGGAGGCCACCTGCAATGAGAGAAAACACTGTTGCATCACATTTTGTGTGTACTGTGTCCTTGGTGGTTTGGCAACTATTGCAAACGAAATGAGAAACAGTAGTAAGTCAAAGGCCCCCAAAACAAGCATAGAGTCCTCCAATGGGAAAGGGCATGAGCTTTTCCTGGAGAATGTATCTGTCAAGTCCATCAAGGGAGCAATTGAAAAACTCTTAATCCATGGAGAAAAAAATTGTTTTTTGAGTAAAAGGGTCCCTACCATACAGTTCACATCCTCCCCTTCCACCACACCAAGAAAATAGTATCTAACATCTAGAATGTACGCTGTCATTTTTTTCATATCTGAACTCAACTCAAAAAGAGAGGAACCAAGAAAGCAACATTTCTATCTTAGGCAAAGACAGGCAAGCTTACCTTGGAAGTAAATGGAGACTTTCCCTCTGCCCCGTCTGCAGGAAGCTCCTCATCCAGGCTCTCAGGGAGATCTAGGACCCAGAGAAAATGTCAGCCCCTTGGTGGTGCTGCTCAGGAATTACTTGGGGGTCTTTAGTGATACAGACATGGGGAGAGAGTGTATGGCAGTCGGGTGCCACTGGTTCACCTTCCTTGGTGGACAACAGCAAGTCAGCCTATAACAACTCTATTTGTAACCACCAAAACTAGAAGCAACCAAGCTGTCCTTCAACAGGTGACTGGATAAACAGAGTGAAACATCCATACAATGACCCATTTTTCTGTAATAAATATAACTGAGCTACCAAGCCCCCCCTCCCCCCACACAGATGAATGTTAAGTAGAGAAAAGTGAGAAAGTCAGTGTGAAAAAGTCCATAATGATTCCAAGTATTTGACATTCTGGAGAAAGAAAAACTATGGAGATGATGGAAAAGATCAGTGGTTGCTAGGATTTTATACAGAAAGAGAAGAGGATGGGTAGGTGAAACTGGATTTATGAATGATAACCTTGCTGGGTAGAGGATTCTTGGTTGTAGGTTCTTCCCTTTTAATTCATTGAATTGTCATGCCTCTCCTTTCTGGCCTGTAGAGTTTCTGCTTAGAAATATGCTTATAGCCTTCTGGAGTTTCTGTCTAGGTAACTATTGCCTATAAGATTCCCTCTTTATCTTTAATCTCCATTTCTTAAACACATTACATAAGGGGAAATGACCAGCCTCCCAGATACAGTCAATAACCAAAATTTCAGGGTTAAGTGGGAAAGACAAAGCATTTTGAGAATAAATAGGAGTCCCATTTTTTCTGTGAAATACCATCCCTTCCCATTTCTAGAATCCTGAGTCACCAGACATTTCTAGAATGATTTAAAGTCAGTTCCAGATGAAATAAAGAGCAGTAATCGAAATTCAGTTTAGAAAGTCATATTTCTCTAAGCACATATTCATCAAAATATATGTCTTTCTCTCATCATATATGTATCCTACCTACTTTTTCTCTGTGTGAGCCAAGACTATGTTCTTAGATCTCTTAATCTTTGTGAATTTGCTGAGCAATTTCTTGGTCATTGTGTGTGTGAAAAAGGTAACTTCACTAAATAATGAAAGGGAAAAAAAATCACTGTGTTTTCACCACTGCATTTCTTTGATGCTGACCGAGTTAAGTGAAAAACTTATACTTAATGCTTTTCTAAATGAAGTACTTTGAATAGCCCCCTAACCGTAGGATTAAATGTGTGCATGGTTGCAGAGGCCATCTCTGCAATAATCCAGCTGAACCTGAGAGGGGTGGATGGGAGATTCAAGAAAAACACAGAGAGAGATATAAGAAAGACACAGAAACCAAAGCTGGGATCAGGATATTCACTGACCACTGGTGGCAGGCCAGTGACACGGTTTTGTTTCTGAGCACAACTTGTGCACACAACCTCTTCCTGCCACATTGAGCAGGGCAGGTGACCTCGGGGCTGCTGGCCAGCAGTGTACGGGTCTCCCAGAGGGTCTCGACACAAGTTCCCTGCAGCCCAAGGACCCTGGGACCTGGATGCGCACTTGCCTTACCTCCCTTGGTCTCTTCCTCTGACAACATATTCCCCCACCCTCCCACTCAGAAGGCTGGGTCCCCATCATTCCCAGGCCTCAGGATAAGAGCAGAATGGCAGCCCCTGAAAATTCACCTGCCTCAAGGTCACACCCTGAAACATGAGCAGGCCATGAGGCAACCTCCATCCCCATAGGCTTCTCAAGTTCCCCAAACCGCCTCCATGACCTGCATGTTTCCATGGGACAGCTCCCCAAGGGCTGAACATGTGTCCTTGTGTGTCTGCCCAGGTGCAAGCCTGGCCCCCTGGAGGAGGAAGGCTAGGCCCCACGAAAGGAGGCCTATTGGGCCAGAGTGCCAATTTGATGCTCGGAGAATGGGAAGCTTGTGAGCCATGATGGGTAACCTATTGCTGATTTTCAGGGTGCTGGCTTGCCTAGATTTAGGGATATGCCTATCCCAAGAGGGGGCTGTGGGTGAGAATGAGGGGTGGTAGTGCATTAACGGGGCAAGCTGCCCCATGGGAGGCCCCAAGATGGGGCACCGGTGGCCAGCAGCCCTGCAGAGCTGAGCTCCCCTCCCAGCAGCAGTGCCCCTGCCAGGCTCCCGCTGCTTCTGGAAGGCACTGATTGTCAGACAGGGGAGGGGTTTGCTCCAGGAGCAGCAGGTCCTCCTGACCACCCTTCTGTTTTTGCCAGCACCCTTCCCCAATACCGAGGCAGAGGCCCCCCATTACTGCCCACCAGGTATTCAGAGCCACACCTTTCCCTGGGACACTAGGGTGACCTGGGATGTGTAAGGGCTCAGATGAGTGAACACATGGACGGGGTCAGTCTAGCGCATGGTGTGGGCCATCCCAGCCCACATTTTGAGGGGGACCCGCTGCCTCAGGCTTTCAACCAAAGCTGAGGAGAGTCCCCTAGGCTGAGCCCACCTGGGGAGGGGACCCAGAGATGTCCCACTCTTCAGGGACTGCATGTCTAGCATGACCCCAGGCATGAGCATCCAGGGTACAGGGTTCATTGGGGACAAGAGAGCTCACATCTTTTTGTCACAAACATGGGTGCAGCAGGGCCAAGGAGGCCCCCAAATTTGTGCTCAGTGGGTGTGAATCCTGGACTTACGGGGCTGTCAGCCCAGGGTGGTGAGGCCCCCAGGGGTGGATGTGGTGAGGCTCAGGCTGAAGGCAGCAGAGCCGTGAGCTCAGAGGATGAGAGACCCTGGAGAGGGTGCAGGGTTGGGCTCTGGGTTTGGAGGGGAGTGTGGGGGCCCCTCGGGGCAACAGAAGGTGACTGACCCTGGGGTGGTGTGCTGGATGGGGGAAGATTTGAATGGCCGTTATCCAAAGGACAAGAAATTACAAGTGCTGGCAAGGATGTGGAGAAATGGGAACCCTCTGACACTCTTGGTGGGAATATAAATCGGTGCCGCCCCTATGGAAAGCAGGGTTTAGGTTCCTCAATCAATTGAAATAGAAATATACAACCCAGTAATTCCACTTCTAGAAATTTACCTGATGATAATAAAATCCCTGAGTTGTAAAGGTATATGCATCCCTGTGTTTATTGCTGCATTATTTACAATAGCCAAGATATGGAAGCAACCAAAGTGTCCATCAATAAATACATGGATAAAGAAGAGGTGGTACATATACAGAACGGAATATTACTCAGCCATAGAAAGAAAGAAAGCCTGCCATTTGTGACAACATGGATGACCCTAGAAGGTATTATGCTAAGTCAAATAATCCAGGCAGAGAAAGACAAGTACCATATGATTTCACTTATTTGTGGAATCTAAAGACAAAACAAAGTGAACAAAATAGAAGTAGACTCATAGACACTGAGCAATGACTGGTGGTTACCTTGGGAGAGTGGTTGGGATTAGTGGGTGGGGGTTGGGATTAGTGGGTGGCGAGCAGGAAGGGGATAAAGGGGCACAAAAGTTCTCAGTCATAATACTAGTTGCTCATGGGAATGTAACACAGCATGGAGAATATAGCCAATGATTCTCTCACGTCTTTATGTTGCCAGACAGTAACTGCAGTAGTTGGGATCAGAATTTAATAATGTGAACCACTGTGTTGTACATTTGAAACTAATATAAGATTGTATATCGTCCATACTTCAATTAAAAATAAAAGGTGTTTGAGTTTCAGCTGCATTGGGTGGGGGTCAGCGGCCCCAGCCCTGCACTGTCCAGGGGTCAACTATATATGAACAGGACCGACAGTGTGCTGACCTCAACACCTCAACACACATTCAGTGTCAGGAGCGCAGGGAAGGTTTGTGATGGTGATAGATTCCCTTTTTTGTGGGAAATGCCTCCATACTCATCTCAACCGTTCTAAATTTCTGAAGTTAATTTTAATTGATGAGGCAAAAAAAAACTGCCATATTTTCCCCAGAGCTGGGAAGTGAGAGGTGCAGAGTATAAGAGGAAATAGTATGTTTTTCTAAATGGAGAAAAGATAAGGCAACGAACTTGATAGAATAACCAAAAATAGAAATTGAGGAATAAACAAAACTATACAACATATTTATAACTCTGTATACAGACTAAATTAGAGAAAGGAAATTTTTAAAAGAAGAGAGAAATATTTTGAGAAAAAGCTGACAAGTCCATTAATAATAACTGTATTCTGAGAACATCTTTGTGAACATACCTGTACAACAATTGAAGTTTCCCATCTCAAAAGGCTCTGGGTATGAAGCTGAGAGTTTCTCACCTCTCACCAGAGTGAACTACTCAGCTCACAGTGTGGCCGATGAAACAGAACCCAAGGTGGGCATCACCACGTCACCATGGCCACAGTGCATCATAGAAGCCTGAGAGTGGATGCAGCCCCGCCCACCTCAGGTCCCAGTACCTCTGTCGAGACAAGTGTGTATTCAGTGGATAAGTGTGGCACTTAAAAGAAAGTTCTGTTTCAAGAACTGAACCCTAGTCTCACACATTATTCTCCATTTCTTAAACACATTACATAAGGGGAAATGACCAGCCTCCCAGATACAGTCAATAACCAAAATTTCAGGGTTAAGTGGGAAAGACAAAGCATTTTGAGAATAAATAGGAGTCCCATTTTTTCTGTGAAATACCATCCCTTCCCATTTCTAGAATCCTGAGTCACCAGACATTTCTAGAATGATTTAAAGTCAGTTCCAGATGAAATAAAGAGCAGTAATCGAAATTCAGTTTAGAAAGTCATATTTCTCTAAGCACATATTCATCAAAATATGTTTTTTCTCTCATCATATATGTGTCTTACCTACTTTTTCTCTGTGTGAGCCAATACTATGTACTTAGATATCTTAATCTTGTGAATTTGCTGAGCAATTTCTTGGTCATTTTGTCTGTGAAAAGGTGACTCTTCACTAAATAATGACGGGGGAAAATCACTGTATTTTTCACCACTGCATTTCTTTGATGCTGACCAAGTTAAGTGAAAAACTTATACTTAATGCTTTTCTAAATGAAATATTTTAAATAGCCCCCAAACCACAAGATTAAATGTGTACATTGTTGCAGGG